GAATTGGCGGCCGCAAACTTTGTTGAGGGTTTTAATTTTGTTTATGGGTGTTACTCATATTATTTAAATTAAAAACCCCAGAAGTACTCACTGTGCGTTTGCCTTAGGGTTGGCGATGGCCTAGACTGAAGTTCTGTAGCCTGTAGTCTTAAATCGAATGGCACCCAAAGAGAAAATGTCACATTTGTGGGAAGTCTGACAAGTTATTTGTGAGCTAGTAGAACAGAAGCTCCCGATCGTTTAATCGGTAGCACACGACTGAGGTTTGAAATGTAAACACACATGGAATAATAAAGGGAGAAGCAATTAGATAAAAGATTTGGATAGTTAGACTTTTGAGTACCCATGGTAATCGCAGTCGGCATACTATTGGGTCTTCAGAAAAGTCAATGCATCGTGACTTTTCTGACAGCTCAGTAATTAAGTACGTGTTTCAGAGACCCATAGTACTTGTTTTTAGGAAATTGTGGTCCATTTACAGTGATAGGGCAAAAGTGTGTTTGAATAGATGGTCTGAAAAGTGAGAATGGAGCCAGAGGTCAGTCCTGAGTAGCAGTGTTGAGACGGGTGCGCAAGACTAAGGTTGAATGGGAGGGAATCAGATGTGTGCATATAGTGGAAACATTCACCTTATAAGCTAATTCAAGAGTATCTGTTATTCTCATCTTTTACTTTTTTCAGTTTTTCATTACCTATTTGCAGCTTTTACCCATCCATTAGTCTTTAAATTAAATTTAATTCTGTCACTGTTTTTCTTCTCTTTCCTCTAATTCTTCTCTGATTTAAAGGAGGTAAACCTCTTGGATTTTATTCAATACAGTAACCATAATGCTTTTTGTTGTTGTTTGTTTTTAAATGAAATGACATTTTTTTTCCAAGGGTTGTCTTCACTTCTCTATTCTGGGATATTTTTTCTTAAAAGGAAAAAAAAAAACAAAAAAACAAGCTTGGGGACCAACAGATGGTGTAGCAGCTACATTTGCTGGACTCCTGCATGGCCGACCATGGATTGTGTCCCAACCTGGTGTCAAACTCTCGCTGGGCACGTGTGCATGCATGCCCAAGATCCCAGGAAGAGAGAGAAGCGGTGTGGCCATCCCGCTTGGGGGTGATTTCTCGCTTTCTGTCTTTGTCTTTTTCTGTCTCTCTGGCAAGCGCATGTGTCCTATAACAAAAATTTCTCAAAAAAAAAAAAAAAAAAAAAC